AGTCCTGGGTGGAATCATCCTTCCTGAGGGTGTGCAGGAGCTCAGGCTGGTGACACATTAACCTGTGTGAAACTCAGAACTCGTTCAGCTGTGGCATTCCTGGGGCTGGCTGGGGCATGGGCAGCTCGAGTCTGCTGATGGATTTTGGGCTAAGAGAATTGGGTTTGCTGAGATGGGAGCACCTGCTGGGGATTCCTCAGAGCTGTGTAGGATCTCCTAATAAATAGCCATGGGCCAGGCCCCTGTCTGGGAGCACAGCAGAACCCTTGGAGGGTCCCCAGTGTCCCTGTCACACAGCACTGCCATCCTGTGCTGCCAGGGCTTGGGCTCCAGTCCTTGGGAATGCCATTAACCTTACCTCACATTCCCTCACTTCCAAAGGTCACATCTGGCAGATTTTTGTGGCAAGTCTTGATTGTTTCTTGTGTAAACTATTAGTGTTGAGCCAGTTCCACTGCCAGTGCACAACTTGAAACACTTCATGGAGCATTTTTGGTCCTTTCTACAAACAACTGGAAATGCAGCATCAGGTCTTTGGGAATGGCTGACTCTGTCCCTGGAGCTCTGGGCACTTTCAGGTGAGATGTATTGCCAGTGTTTGTAAATTCAGTATGCCAGCAATTATAAATTCAGTATGCTGTAGCAGAAGGTGCCCAGGTGTGATCACTGTAACCTGAAAAGCTCTCAGCAGCAGCAGCAGCTCCAGGGGATCTCTTTGGTGAGCTCTGTGGAGCTCTTTTGGGGCCCAGGTGTTGCTGTGAGATGCCCCTTTCCTAGCTCAGCTGTGCAGATGTTGCTCCATAAGAGCAGAGCTGCAGCAGTTGGTTCTGCAGGTGGGTTTGTCTGTTCAGTGCCAGTGAGTGCTTGTGCCCCAGGGAGTGCCTAAAGTCCATATTTTATCTTGGAATTACCTTCCCAGGAGCAGCACAACTCCCTGTTCAGGAGCAGAGTATCTCTTCTGCAATTTTAGTAATCCAACACTGAAGATAAAAGGGAGATCATGTCTGTTTCCCCAGGGAGAGGCTGCTCTAAAATGCAAAGTATAGCTTGTAGTTTTGCTCAAGTGTACAAGGTGGAAGGTTTGGGGTGGTTATAGTAATATAAAAGTAGTTGTTAGAACTCTTTGAGGAGAGAAATCAAATAAATCCTTGTGGTTTCTAGCTCCAGCCTGGTATCTCATTATCCTAACAGACCTGGGAGGAAGTTTACTCAGTTACTAATCCTAAATTTCTTGCCACTCTTCCCAGGACTGATTGGCATCTTGTGAAGCTGTATGGTGTTAAGGCCAGAGAAGAGTTAATTAGGACGAGTGCTCAGGGATTTTTACCAAAAGTAGCTTTCCCTAAAGCCTCAGTTGTGCACAGCAGAAGCAGGTTTCAGTGAGAAGTACCATTTTTAGGGGAGAGAGGTGGTCACAGCCACTGTTAAATCACAAAGTGCTGGATCATGCTAATGAAAAGTTGTAGAAGGTGCTGCTTTTTCCTCTCCTACCCTTGCAAGCTGTAGGAGGCAATTGCACCCCTAACTAGTAAAGAGCTGGAATTTTTTGTTGTGTTGGGGTTTTTTTCCCTCTGGACAGTGGCTTTGTCTCCACTCTCCCTTCAGCTACAGCAAGTCCTTGTTTTCAGAGTAGGAGTGGAATGTTCTGCCTGTTTATTCTTGGGAGAAGATATTTGTCTTTATGAGCTCGTAAAGCTATTTAAAGACTGGTTTTTACTGTGTTCAGGATTAGACTTTAGAAGTTGCTTCAAAACAAGTGTCTTTGAGCTTGGGGCAGAAAGGATGTGACTGAGCTGCTTTGGTGCTGCAGGTAGCCACAGGATGGTGTGGTTTGGGAAATGCTCTGAGCCAGAGGAGTCCAACATGGATCTGTGTTGAGCTTTAGGGGTTGTTAATGGAAACCAGCAGCAGCTGCAGGAAGGAGGTGCTGGTTCTGCTGGGGGATCTCCTGAAGGTGGGTCAGGTGCAGGATTCGTGGTCTGCCTGTCACCATGAGCCAGAGGAACACAAGCAGTGCCTTCCAGGGCTGCCAGCCAGAGCCCTGGGCCATGCCCAGGCAGCTTGGGGCAGGCTGCTGGCACTGTGTCCCTCTGGGACCTGCTGTCCCTTCCCATCTGAGTGCCCGTTCCTTCCCCTGCCTCTCTTCTGCCAAAGGCTCTCCAGGCTGTGACTGAGGTGCTGCACAGGCAGCACCCAGGTCTCCTGCCCATTGCCTGCCACACAGAGGAACTGTTCCTGGACCTTCTGTAACCAACCCCAGTCTTGGCTGCTGCATTGCAAGTGACTTCTGCATGTTGGATTTCTATATAGAGCACCCTACTCCTTCTTGCTGATGGTTGATCCACAGCTTGACCTTTTAAAGTGACTCCTAATTATCTCATCTGGGTTTCTGTTTCACAGCTTACTCAGCAGCTTATTAGCTGCAAGTTATGTTCCCACACCTTTCTGAGTAGAAGGATCTCCCCAGGAACCTGCTGCTTAACATGCAGGAAATCTTATTTAGGGGCTTACCTTCAGTTTGGCCTACTACTTATTCCTGTGCCAGCTGTTTTCTGTCCCCCTGCAACTCTGGTACATGCAGAGAGGAGTAGGAGCTGTGCCTTTGTGCTTTAGTTCTGGCTATAACCTTCATCTTCAGTGTAACCTTGCCCAGTGCTTTTGGTCCTGTGACCCAGGCTGCCTCTAGTCCTTTCACTGGTGTGGGTTGGGGCAAAGTGCTGCTCACAGACCCTGTGCTTAACCTGCTGCTGCAGCCCTGGAAACCTTTGCTGCTGTGGAGAGGAGCCCCTCCACAGCAATGTCTTGACATGACCAAACCCTGCATGGAATATTGCAAGGACAATGTCCTCGAGATGCTGAAGGACTTCCAAGTGTTTTCAGCCACGTTCTGCCTCTCACTGCAAAGCTGCCTCTTGCCTGTGGGCACTGCTGAGCTGCCCAGGTGAAGCTCTGAGTTGCCATCTCATTTATGCCTTACCTGGGGCACTTGTGGACCAGCTGAGCAGGCAAGTGGTGGTGTCAATACCTGTTTGCAGCCACAAGAGCTCTCAGCAGAAATTCCTGCTCTCACAGCAGCACTAATGCACACCAGGTGTCACAAGGAGTCTCCACCTGTGACTTCTGCCAGCCCTCCTGTGCCACCCCACTCCTCTGCTGTCTGTGGAATTTTCTGATGGAAAGCTGCCTCTGTTCCCGTAGGCAGGATTCTCATCCTGAGCCTCTTTCTGGAAAGCTTCTAAAGTTCAGCCTAGTAACTCAGTTCAGAATCAAGGAAGAGCAAACAAGGCTGAACAGAGAATAATATCTTGCTTAAAATAGTAAATGTGTTCAGGCAACAACTGAGCGAGCTCGGGGGCAGAAGTGGGATTTGTAACTCAAGCAGGGTTTGTTTGGAAGTTTCTGCTGCTGGGAAGAATGTCTGGATGAGAACCCCGTCCCCGTTGTGGCTGCCAGGAGAGGGCGGCAGCAGCGGCTCCGCCGCTCCCCGCTCCGCCTGGAAAATGTTTCCAGGAATTGCCGTCATCAGCCCCGCAGCCAAACTCCCTTTCTCTCCCGGTATGAATCATGCGGATGTGAAACGCTTGTGTTTCCGGAATCCAGCTGGATTTACTGCAAGACCATCTTTGCTGCTCACCTGCGTGTGTAAATCTCCGGCGTTTTTCCAGTGTCTCCTTCCAGTTACGCTCTTGCTTCCTGCTGCGATCGCAGTGATGGGGTGGAGGCCGGCAAGTGCTCCGGAAAGCCAAAGCTGCTGCCTCCTCGGAGAGAAACATCCTCTCCTTTCTCCCAGCTGCGCTGAATCTGATCCTACCTGCTGGTATTTTTGGACAGGAGAAATTTGGAGCTCAGCCACGTTGCCGTGAGCTGCGGGAGCGTTATCAGTGCTCAGGGAGCAGGGGATGGAGAGGGGTCAGCCTTCCCCTGGCACCCATCAGCCTCTTGAGCTCTGGCTATAAATAGCCAGGAGGAACAGAGGAGCAGCGTGCCCTGGCCTTGGGAAGGGAGGCTCTGCTCTCGGTGCCAGCACAGCACCCGGTCCTGCTCAGTGGGAAGAGGGAAGGGCCAGGGTGGGAACTTCCCCAGGCAGAGAGAGGAACGCACGTGTGGTTCCCCCTTTCACGTTAATAATCAATGAGAGGAACGCACGTGTGGTTCCCCCTTTCACGTTAATAATCAATGAGTCTGTGAATGTTTCCAAAGGTTTCCTCTCCTATGCCAATCTGCAGAGGATGTGGGTAGTTCCAGCTCCAAGCCTGGTTTGAGCTGAGGCATCTCTGGAGATCTTGGAGAGTCTGCCAAGAGACAATCGTCAGGTTATCGCTGGGCTTTGGGGCAGCCGAGCTGCCAGGGATCTTTCTGCTTTGCTCTGTGCCCTTCTCCTCCATCTCCCCCAGCTCATAATGAGAGTCCATCAGCCTGGATTGTGCTCCTGTGCTCAGCACAGCCTCCAGCTGGTGGGGCAGAGAGCAGAGCACTCCGAGTGCTTGTGAGGGGGAGAGGAGAGGGAGAAATCTCATCTCATCTCATCTCTCTCTGTGGGAGGGAGCTGCCCTGGTTTAATTTGCATCTGTTTGTTCAGATTGCCCAAACTCCCGTGTGAGCATGTTCAGTCTTCAGTGGGGACCTGGCTGACCTCTTCCTGGCCAACTTCGGACCAAGAAAATAAATACACCTAAATGGGATTTGAGGTGGGTGTGGACTGGTGGTGTCATTTAGACCAACACAGGAAAAACCCGTAGAGAAGAACTAATAACATCAAAACTGTGTTAGCAATCTCAGAAAACAAAACACCTTTTATTCCTGGGGGGAGTTGCTGTTTCTCTGAGACAGCAACAGCTTGGGATGAGGAAGGCTGGCCCAAGGCAGCCCCAGCCTAGTTGTCCTCCCACCGCCAGCGATGAGGGGATGATTCCCCTTTGGACAGTTTTCTGGAACTCAGCTTCCTCCGCAAGGAGGAAAATTTGTCTCCAAGGACTTTGCGTAGCCCAGTGCTGTCCCTAGCAAAGGGCAGGTCCTTCCTCATAGCAGGCAGCTGGCCTGTAAACATTTCCCACTTCGCCAGGGCATCCACGGTCTTGTCCACTTGAGCCAGTTCCTCCTCGGAGACGTTCCTCTCCAGGGCAGCAATGCACATCTCCAGCCACAGCTCGTAATCCTTGATGGTGTCCGTGGCCTTGGTGTGCCCGGGGAGCTGGGGCTGCCCCTCGGGCACTGAGCTGGGCTGCTCGTCCTGCTCCAGCTCCGGCCCGATGGACAGGCCCTGGCTGCAGGTGTCGGGGGTCAGCGGCTCGGACAGGGAGGTCACGGCCTCGGAGTCGTTCTCACAGCACATCCCAGAGTCAGAGCTGAGCGGGAGGATGTCCTCTGAGGCAGACAGCTCTGCTGACTCCTGCCTTGGCCATGTGGACAGCACGGTCTGTGTCCAAGCATAGAGCTTCTGTGGTGAGAGGAGAAAGGTTTCATTGTGGAGGATGAGAGATGCCAGGTACACATTCCCCCGTGTTTGCCAGGTAAACCTATTTATCTTGGGTGGCTCAGCTGCAGCTGCCACAGTCTTCTCTGCCAGACAATGGGTTCAGACAACTCCTGGTGACCCTACAAAGCAGGAGCTTTCTCTTGTCTCATTTTCTTGGACTGTGGCAGAGCTGCCTCCAGTCAGATGTGGACTTTATCTGCCCTGTTATTGAAGGTCATTCCCTGCTGTGTGAATGTGATCTCCAGGAGAGGCAAACCAACGCCTCTCCAGAGGAAGCTGTCATTATAAAAGCTCCTCAGATAGTGGTGAAGAATTGTGTTTCATCATGTTGTTAATGCCTGTGGTAATGTGTGTTTTATTCCCAAGAATAGCTCTTCCCCTCGTGAGCTGCAAGGAACAAGTGGGAAGGCTGGCTCTAGGAAAGAACTAATGAAAGGAAAATGTCGGAGACAATTTCCTTTTTAAATATTAAATGCCACAATGAGGCATATAGCAGGTTGCTCCTGGCACATTTATTCCTTATGCTTTAGGGAATGAACCACAGTACTCCAGTCATCCCTGGGTAAAAGGTGATCTCATCTGCCTTGTTTCTAGTATTGAGGTGTTTTTGTGGTTGTTGTTCAGTTTTTCACACTCCTGTGGCCTATTTCTTCCCCTTTACTTTCTGTAACTCCCAGTGGTCCATCTGCAAAGCCCCCAGTTGCTCAGCAGTGACAGGAGTAGCCCGGGCTGTCCCCATGGTGTGCCAGGCACGGAGCTGGATCCATCCCTGCTCAGCTCAGGGGGAGCTGCAGTGTTTGAGGAGCAGGCAGGAGATTCCCAGCCCTGTGGAGCTCCCTTCTCTTACAGCCCCCCACTGCTCCCTCCTCCTTTCCTCCTCTATTGCTGTCTCTTCAGGCAAGTGACAGAAAGGATAAAGAGCTCAAATTGAGTGGGTGGGAGAAATCAGCCCTGCTTCTCATTTCAGTCTGAGCATGGAGCCTCGGGGAAGAATTCTGTACAGGAATAAAATGGACTCTTTCAGTTTAGCTAATCCACCCTGCCCCCTCCCTCTAGGCCAAGAAAAATTGTAAAGGGACAACTTTTCTCCTGCCTGGTCCTACCTCCAGTGGCCCTTCCCTCCCTCTGGGTTTATCCAACAAAGGCAGTGGGAGCTGGGCTAGTGAAGGGGAAAGCAAAGCTCTGGAAAGCTGCAAGCAGCCCATAATTTTGTAATGGCTCTAAATTCCCAAGAATAGTGATTCTGGGAAGGAATCCCAATTGCTACTTAGCCCAATTCCCAGGAAGAAAAAAGGCTGTGGAGATATGGATTTTCCAACAGTACATTTGGGTTGTTCAAGGCAAAAAAAACCGGGATAATCGACTCAGGATCTCTGCCTGAATTCCCAGAATCTCTTCAACTCCTGTCATCCTTTGGCTTATTCATTTGAATTTTGGGTGGGTTTGAAGGGCTGCAGCCTCTTATGTTCTCCTGTTTAACCAGGAAGGGATGAGCTCTGTGTGGGTTTTGTTTACCTGCAGGCAAGAGCAGCTGAAGTGGATGTCCACCCCAAGGATGTCACTAAGACCTGTCTGTGTGTGTGTGGCCACTGCAAACTCATCCAGCCACTATGTGAGGACAACCTGGGATGCTGCACCAGCAGCAGGTGGAAATGTTGATTGTGGTGGGGAAACACCAGGACAATTAGCTTGCTTTCAGTTTTCAAGATGACTCATGCTGGAATAAGCAGCTGGAATAAAAAATGGAGTGTGGTTCTGAGTACAGCTCAGATAAATAAGTTGAGGGGCTCTTGCTGCTGCATGAGGACTGGTTTCCTGCCCTGCATGCTCCTCTGCCCCAAACCATGTCTCAGTTGCAGATCTGAGCAGAGTTGCCTGCTGCTGCCAAGGCACAGCTTGGTTCTGGCATTTCCTGTGGTTATTAGGATGTCTGAAGCTGCTTTGTGGCAGGTGGGGATCTGTGATAGTTTCCAAGAGGAAATGTGACTTCAGACTTACACTTAGCATGCTTGGCAAGATAACTTTGCTATCTTTTATTGTCTCAAAATGCTTTCTGCTTTCTTCTGTCCTGTTCCTTAACTATTTAATTCATCTCTGGCATTTATGTCTCCTCTCAACATTATGGCAAAGCCTCTTACAGAGATTATCACAGCTCTCTTACACCAGCTCTAGTTGAGCTTTGCCTTCTCAAGGAAGCAGATGTGACAATTGGCAAGTGCATCATTCCTTTGGGTTTGTGTTCCCTGTCACCAGAGGATGCTGAGCCAATTACAGTATTTGCTGCAGGTGTAAAGGCAAAAATATTTCTAGAAAAGATTAATGCAGGTGGCCGGTCTCTTCTAGAAAGCACTGGCTGGATGCTGACAGGCTGGGTGTTTAAATAGAGAAGAATTTATCTGCTTTATTTAAGCAGAATCCTCTGGTGGTCTGGGCAATTTAGACACTTCTCAGACCAAAGTAGGGACCAAACAGCTACAGAGTCAGAGGAGGGTCTGGCAGCACCACAGATAAGTAGGAAAATCACAAAAAAGTGTGTGTTTCCCCACAGTCTTTGCCATGCTTCTGTGTTTTTGATTCCATGCTGAATGAAACCAGAGGCATCTCCTTTCTCATTCTGCTCGTATCTTGTTACAAATACAACCCACAGACTTTAAAATAGGCAGCCATGGAAAATCCTGCCTCTGAACATGATGTGTGTCAGACAGGAATCACAACAGGGAGAAGATGGGTGCTGAGTGAAAATGGGGACATTATTTCTATTCCACCAACCATTTGGCTACTGAAACCTGCTTTTTAGACAGCAGAGGTAGAAAACCCTTTTAAGAGTTAAGGGTGTATTAGCACTGTTCCTGATGTATCTAAATGTAGTATTTAGCAGTAGTATGAGTGGGAGAGAAGAGACAAAAGATGAGTCTGGGACCCTCCATGTATTGAGGGTAATAATTTGGGATGTTTTCTCATAAATTTAAGAGGAATTGCAGCAAAGTACACACATAATGTTTCCTCCCTGTTCCCAGCAGCCCCAGAGAGGCAAAAAACCAGGGTGGCACAAGAAAGGATGTAGCTGTGGGAATCCCTGAACTCACTGCTGCTCCTGCTTGCAGTCTGCCTACCCTCCCCACCTCATTTTTGGGAGTAGGAAAGTGTGGTTGGACTGTGGCAGTGTCCCTCCGGAAGACCCAAAAGCTCTGGAGCTTGTGCAAAGTGCTTTGTTGGTCAGAGAGCATGTGTAGAACACCTCCATGATCAGGTGTGAGCTGCTGCCTCAGCACCTTGCACTGAGAGCTCCTGAGAGCTCCTGCCTTCACCAGGCTGCTGCAGCACCTTCAGTGCTGGGTTTGGGCTGGGCTGAGCCACCCTGCCCTGCCCCTGCTCCAGGAGGCTCAGGGGGACTGGGGCTCACCCTGTAGCGCTCGATGAGTTTGAAGCCCACGACGTGCTGCAGCTTCCGCAGGCAGATGGGGCAGGGCTCCAGGGGCCGCAGCAGCGCCTCGTCCAGGCTCAGGGCGCCCTGCATGATGCACTGCAGCCAGCGGCACGTCCCCAGCCCCATCAGGTGGCAGATCTCATGACAGGTCACCTTTCGGGGAAGCAAAGATCACAGCAGTGCATGTCATTCCTGTTTCTGCTGCCTCCTCCTCTTCCTCCTCTGCTGTTCCACCTTCCCTGCTCCCTGGTAGTCTGAGCAGCCCTTGCTCAGCAGTGGTTCTCCTCCAGCCTAGGCTTTTCCAAGGTGATAGGAGAACCTGGCTGCCTCTTCCCAGCTCCATGTTTGTGTAGTGGAGAAGGAGGGGTGGGTGTGGATAAGGCAAATGTGGGGAGCCCTGTAGGTAAAGTTGTGGGGCAGTGCTGCTGCTGCTCTTCCCCAAGGACAATGTGGTGGTTTTTGTTGTTTTGGGGGTTTTTTAAATAGGAAAAGCAGTCCCATTGGGGCCTGAAAAGAGCAACACAGCCTGTGTGAAAAATGTGCAAGAAGTTGTTGGCAATAACAGATATGAGTCCTTCCAGAACAGACTCCATTAACGTTTGTGCCAAAGCAGAAAACTGAGCTGGAGTCAGCTGGCCAAGCATGACTGCCTTGGGAACTGGCAACTGTGGAAAGGCTGAGGATGGAGGATTTCTCTCCTCCTCCCATTGCCACTTAATAACATTTAAAATTATTACAGGAAGAGTTCTCAAACTAGAAAATCCTGAGCAAATACCAGAGGAGCAAAGAAAAGTGGCTTTGAAGGTGCTGGTGTGACTGCTCTGTGTGGCCCAGCTTTGGGAGGAACACTGGAAGCAGAGCTGGAATATGGCAGATGTTGGGATGAAGAAGGACAGCACTCATGATGAGGATGTATTGGAGGTAAGGGGGATTTAAGGGCATCTGCATTTAAATAGATGACTTGGCTGAGGTGTTCTCCTCCATCCATGTAACATGTCTGGCACTGGGACCCCTCCCCTCAGGATTACCCAAGCACAAGTCTGGGAGCTGGGCAGGGTTGCTTCAGTCCTGGTCCATGACAGAACCTGGTTTAGTGGAAGGTGTCTCTGCCCATGGTAGGGGTTTGGGACAGGATGGTCTTTAAGGTTCCTTCCAAACCAAACCATTCTGTGATTCTGAGGCAAGTCCTGTAGCCTCCCCATAACTGATGTTGTCATTTGCTCCCATGGTGAGGGGAATAGGAGTTGTCCATGCAGTGCACTAAAATGCAAGCTCTTTATGTCTGAATTCAGTGTGGGCTTAGCTGTGACTGCCTGTGCTTCTGGGAGCAGTCTCATGGCTGCTTCACTGGGCTGAGGCATGGATGATACCCTGGCCTGAAATATTTAATCCTACCCAGGAAGAAACACGGGGTGGAGGAGGTTGCTGGTCCTACCTTGCAGCACTGGACCATCTCCTGGGCACTGAACTGCAAGGCTCTGTCTCTGCCCTCCTTGCTGACTTCACACAGCTCTTCCTTCTGCGTGGGTGGGTTCAAGCTGCTACAGCCAGCCTGGGGGAAATCCCCAGAAAACCTGGCAAAGCTGCAGACTCCCACTTCTGTGAAGAGAGGGGAGTACAAGTCAGGCATCTGCTCTTTTACAACTGTCTGTCAACTTAGGCAGCATGAAAATGCAGCTGTGGGGGAGCACAGTCCAGCTGGGCACACAGGCTGTGAGGAGATCCACTCCCCAAAAGGTTTGTATCAGTTGCCTCTGTCTGGATCAGGAGCCTTGATCTCCCTAACTTCACACTGGGGAAAAGTTCCTCTTACTAGGGAATAGCATGTTAAGAATAAGATTTGGCTATTCCAGTCTCACAGGGAAGGGCTTTTTGGTACAGTACTGCCTTATTCACACTCTGCTAGATCACCATGGGACACCAACCCACCTTGTCCTGGCAGGAATTTGCTGAATGTGAAGCTCCAGGTCTCACATGGGTAAAGATCCAGCAGGGTAAGTCCAAGGACACACAGGGCATCCATGGGCTTGTTGTTCTTCAGGAAATTCAGGATCCCATCTGTACAAATATGAGAGATGTTCATTTAAATGAAGAATCCCTGGAAGACACAGAGCCAGGTGGGGCTCTGGTGGGGTGGAGGATGTAATCCAAGCCTACAGGCAGTCAGAGCTGCTGGATTCATCATCTCAGGTGGAGAACATGGCTGTGTAGCCCATCTCTCAAATCAGAGAAGACTTGACTTTGGAAGTGGTGCTGGGCACAGAGTCAAAGCAGAGATCCTGATGAATTCAGTACTAACCCATGGAAATGAGCACCTGGGAGCAGAATTTCCCTACAGGCAGCTCGGAACTGAGCTGGAACAGCCCCAGGGCTGCAGTCCTGTGTCTGTGCTGAGCATGTGCTGCCCATGGTACCTGTAAACATCTCATTCCAGGTGGATGTTTGTGCAGTGCAAGTTTGGCAGCTGGCAAACCCAGTCCCCTGGGGAACTGTGTGACACTTGAACCCAAATTTCCTATCACGAAAGGCCTGCAAGTTCCCCCCCTGCACCACCCAGGCCAATGATTTACTTTGGCTCTGGACAGGGGATGGGAGAACTCAGACTGCACCAAATCTACAGAGCCTTCCCGCAGAGCCGATCTGATGGCTTTGCAGAGCTGGACCGAAACATAATAGCACTGAAAAATACAAACAGCAGAGGAAAATATGATGAAAGTCACTTTGTTTTTTATTCCTGTTTCCAGCCTCAAAGCTCTGGGCTTTCCATGGGAACAGGATTTCTGCCTTTTCACTCCCTTCCTCATCCCCTCCCAGCTCAGGCAATGGAGGGCTGTGTCAGGCATTTCCTAAGGGAGAGCTCGTGCCTGTGTGCCAGGCTGGAGTTTGTGGGCTCCCTGCTGCCAGGTCCGTCCTCACCTGCGTGGAGCTGCACCCTGTCCGAGTCCCGGCTGGGGCGGAAGCAGCAGTGGATGGAGGAGACTGGGATGGAGGGGAGGCACTTCACACGCAGGCCCAGGAAGAAAGACTCCACACAGCTCTGGAGGGAATCCAGCAGCGAGAGCCCAGCGGGGCCTTCGATTAAATCTGAGGAGAGAAGCTCTTGGTCAGCTCCTCACAGCCAGGGTGAACATAAGGGTCTGACGGGGTTTTGTGGTACTGCTTACAGCAACTGGGCAGGCTGCTTCATTCTGGAGCTCATGGCTTACTCTGGGATGTGGTGGACACCTCTGGGTGGTTATGGATGTAGAGGAGAAGAGGGAGCTCCTTCTGAAAGGTTGCTCAAGGCATTAGTACGCTCTCATTAGCAGAGCAGATGTGCTGGAAGGTTGTCTCCTGTTTAAGTTGTGCAGAATGATTAACGTGGGAATGAGTGGCTGTGTTTAATGAAGCATCAGAGATAGACCTCCAGAAATGCTGGTTTTTCCAGCATTGTTTCATACTTTGATATACATATATGCATAAATTCATAGCAAGCCTCACCCAGGGGCATACATACCATTTATATGGCAGGTCTACCACCACAGCTTATGACTCTGGACTGGGGGCATTGCCTGTTACACTTGTCTTTGCTATGGCCATTGCACTTGCAGATGAGTCCTTAGAGGAAGGTGTTAGCAGCCCTCCACACCACCCACCATCCTCCTGTGTCTCTCCAGGCAGCCCAGCGAAGACCCCCCCATTACCTATAGGCTGCAGGTAAATGTGCTTTCGACAGAAGTTCTGCTTCCTCCTCAGCATGGCGTGGTAGAAGGTCTCGAAGTCCTCGGGGGCATCGGGGTGGCTGAGCAGCCAGTCGAAGGCGGTGCGGATGAGCAGTGTGCAGAAGAGCGTGCGCTGGGGGTTGTATGCCTCGGACAGGAACAGCTTCTCCGCCCTGGAGAAGGCCTTGGCGTAGAGCTCCTGCAGCGCGGGGTCGGTGGAGATGAGCGCGTCCTTCAGAGCGCGGGGCCCGAAGCTGAACTCCTGCGCGTGTTTGCACTGCAGCATGGCGGGGCACGGCCTGCGCGAGGGGACGCGGCCATCAGCGCCCGGCCGCGCCAGGGACGGGAAAGATCCTCACACATGGAGGATCCAGCCATGAGCACCCGGCCTCGCCAGGGACAGAAAGCTCCTCATGCCTGCGGGACATGGCCATGAGAGCCTGGCCTCGCCAGGGACAGGAAAGCTCCTCATGCCTGGGGGACATGGCCATGAGAGCCTGGCCTCTCCAGGGACAGGAAAGCTCCTCATGCCTGGGGGACATGGCCATGAGAGCCTGGCCTCTCCAGGGACAGGAAAGCTCCTCACACATGGAGGATCCAGCCATGAGTGCCCAGCCTCGCCAGGGACAGAAAGCTCCTCACACATGGAGGACATGGCCATGAGTGCCCGGCCTCGCCAGGGACAGAAAGCTCCTCATGTCTGGGGGACATGGCCATCAGCGCCTGGCCTCAGCAGGGACAGGAAAGCTCTTCACCCATGGAGGACATGGCCATGAGAGCCTGGCCTCGCCAGGGACAGGAAAGCTCCTCACACATGGAGGATCCAGCCACGAGTGCCCGGCCTCACCAGGGACAGGAAAGCTCCTCACACATGGAGGATACGGCCATGAGCGCCCGGCCTCGCCAGGGACAGGAAAGCTCCTCACACATGGAGGATCCAGCCATGAGCACCCAGTCTCACCAGGGACAGGAAAGTTCCTCACTCTTGGGGGACATGGCCCTGAGTGCCTGGCCTCAGCAGGGACAGGAAAGTTCCTCACTCTTGGGGGACACAGCCATAAGCTCCTGGCCTCAGCAGGGACAGGAAAGCTCTTTAAAGTTTGGGGACACAGCCATCAGTGCCCAGCCTCACCAGGGACAGGAAAGCTCCTCACTCTTGGGGCCATGGCCATCAGTGCCCAGCCTCAGCAGGGACAGGAAAGCTCCTCAGGCTTGGTGCTTGCAGTGGTGTGCCAATATCCTGGCTGTAGGGTGTGGTGGGATTCTGTAAACACTGCACGCTGCACTCCAGGCCCTATGCTTCCTGTGGGAGTGGCTGTTATGGGTTTTCCATGTCCCCGTGGGTGTCACTGGCTCAGGGACTGGCTCAAGAATGCACAGCCCCAAAATGGTGCTGGAGTAAGCCAGATGGCTTGACTGGTTTGGGGGTTTTTGTTCACTCTATCCTGAAGCCCCAGTAAGATGGGAAATACCTCTGAGTGTTGCACAACTGGACCTTGTAGGATATAGAAATGTGGTGCTCCTCCTTGCTTGGGACAAACTACACTCCTTGGAACAGGTCCAGGTCAAGAACAAAGAGGTTGATATTGGTCTTTATCTGTTGATCAGAAACCTAAACTTCTGCCTTACCTGACACCAGTGAAATTGTTCTCTGATTACAATTTCCTCTAACACTTTTAATCCTAGCTATTATCCCAGGGCATCTGTTGGCTCCCAGTGCTGCTGTCAGGCTGCAGGATTTGGGGAGGTTTGCCCAGCCAAGGTGGAACTTGCTGTGCAAGGCTGGTGGTGCCTCTCTAGCAGGACACGCTTGGGCCCGCTGCCATCATGTCCCTTCATGAACAGCTTCATGTCACACTGTGTTAGCATCAGCAACGCTGGGCATGATGTCAGCTGGTAAATAAAGAGCAAATAAAAGCCTGCAGCACAAATGTGGAGCATCCTGGAAATATCCTCTCCAGGGTCCTTTCTAAGACCAGCGTTCCCCAAAGCAGCAGAATTCCTATTCCTATTCCTATTCCTATTCCTATTCCTATTCCTATTCCTATTCCTATTCCTATTCCTAGGCACCTATTCCTATTCCTAGGCACCTATTCCTATTCCTATTCCTATTCCTATTCCTATTCCTAGGCACCTATTCCTGCACCCACTGCAGTTAATGCACTTGGGGAGGTGCCAGTGAACACCTTGGGGAGAAGGAATCAGAAGAGAAAATAAAGCACAGCCCCCGTGACTAATCCATGTCTGGATTTTTCCTTTAGGTAAGGAGACCATGCCAAGCAGAAGTGGAGCATTTTGGAGCAGTGCTTTGGGCTTTTTGCCTACCACAGGTAAGTGCTCCACCTGTTCACAGCAGAATGAGAAATTCAGGGGATATATGCACAAAAGCCCGAGGTTTCTAGGAATAAGTGTTACCTTCTTCTAGGCAAGTTAATAGTAACTTAAAAGGAGCCAGAAAAGCTTTCTGACTGGACACCAAATGCATCAGCTGCTGACCATCACTGGTCTAGCAGCAGCATTCAATCACAGAAAAAAAAGAAATTAAATATTTTAAGGAGGAACTGGTTAAGTCTATAATTTAACTAGGTCTGCAGCCTAGTTCTGCCAGGTAAATGGCATTCTGTGGCCCCTGAGGACAGCAATATGATTAATAAAATTCAATATTTAAAAAAAGTAGTACCAACATGAGCCAAAGCCTCTCCTGTTATGCAGAGGTGGTTTGCACTGTAAAAGGAAAGTGGCAGCCCATTAAAATTAACATTGCATTCCTTCTCATCTAACCCTTGGGAAGAGCTGTGTATGTATTGGTAGTCCTTAAAAGGGCTCATTTAGTGTGATCTTTTTGTCTCTAAGGGTGTGTAGCTTGGAGAGGGAGTGGATAGGCAGTTTTCTTTCATTTTTGCAAGCTTTGTATTTCACTCACATTAAAGGCTGACAGCAGGTGGCACAGGGAAATCTGAAGTGGTGCAAGGGCCCTAATCCAGTGACAATTTAGAAAAAAAATCTGTGATACTTTCTCAGCTCTTCTTATTGCCTAAAATTGTCCAGATTGCTCCAGATGTTTTTTACAGGGAGGAGCAAGAGTTTGTGTGAAGTTTCTCTGCACTTGGTGACCCAAATCTCTACACTTCTGACTTGCTTCCAGATTTGGAAGCACAAAGTGAGAGTCTGACCCCAGCAGGTCATCAGGAGTTTTGCCTTGGATTAGGGTGAAGATTGGCATTTTCCTAATGGACAAAATTTCACTTGGTCTGCACAACCTTTAAATACAAGCATCCTTTTCCTGGTGATTGCAGAACTTTCACTGGGCAATTCTCAGCAATATTCAGCTGCCTGAGGATGTGATGCTACGAGCTGCTGCCTGCCTAGAGCAAGTCAAGAAAGAGACTTTGCACTTAGTCCAGATTGAGACTTATCTTGTTAAATGATTTAAATTTCAAAGTTTCTGGAAGCATGAGCTGTTTTCATTAATGTTTTGGGCAACAACTGGAGTGTTGGTCTGGGGAGGAGGAGCTGGTTAGAAAATGAATGGATTTTTTTCAGCTAAATGGGAAGCAGCAAAGAGTGGATGTATGTGACAGCAAATACAATGAGTGCACAGTCTTGTAGTAAGTGTTCCCCCCAGGGTCCCTGGTGGAGTATAGTGTGAGCCCAAAGCTATGGGATATACATTGTGTCCCTAGACTTCCTAAAAGGGGACATTCACCCAGCTCCAGACATTCCCAGCTGTGACCATGGGTGTTTTGTGATGTTCCCCACGCCCAAGGGTGCCCATGACAACACTTCAGTGGTTCAAAAACTCGGTCACAGGAATGCATTTGCAGGAATTCAGTCTGGAATGACATTTGCCTCCTTCTCCTGGAGATCTGGCTTTGCTTCCAACAGAACATCAGCAACCCATTACACTCTCCAAATCTGAGACAATTACTTCTCTTTAATAAGCTTTTCTAAAATACTTCATTGGAGAAAATAAATGCCTCAGAAAAATTTTATGGGACAACTTTAGTAGTTGAAAAAAGAAGCTTTTACCACATTAGCTATAGTAGATGTTATTTGTCTTGGTCTAATATATGGATATGGTGTTTCATCAACTGGAGCAGAGCAACAGGGCTTTATAATTTTTAGCTTTTGTGCTGAGGGTGCCTGGTGTAACTCCCTGAGGGAGACCCTCTGGAATGGCACTTTGGCTTGGATAGTTTCTTTCCCAACTCAGTTTTTAAGATGACAAGGTGGGGGTGAAGAAGTAGAAGCACCAATGCATCCTTCTGCCCTTCAGGTATTTTGGAAGATGTCCTGCCTTTAAAGAAGCTGATTTGGCTCCCTGTTAAACAATAAGCTGTGGGACCTGACCAGCAAGTCCTGGGGAGGAGAAAGTAACTCCTTTTGTTTAAAAGGCTAGTAATTTGTAGTTGCACTTAAGAAAATGCTTTAAGCAAAATAATAATGTAGAGATCTGCTGCAAGTGGAGACACTCCACATCCACTCCTGTACCATTTTTTACTTTACCATTAGGAAAACATCTTGTTCTCAACACAGATTTTGCTGCTCCATCTTGCAGCCATTTGCTAACATTGTAATTTTTCCTAAACCAGGAACAACTGTGCTGGACCACATGAGATCCATGAAGTTGGACCTGATGATCTTGGAGGTCTCTTCCAACCTAAGTGATTCCGTGATACGAAGGAGCAATCAATGTCCCTGTGTGCAGGTTGGACAGGATCCAGGGGCAGGGAAGGAGCCTTGCTGGGACTCTCATCCTGCTGGGAAATCCTCCTCTTTTTTTCTGTTATTTGCATATTTCACATCACTCATCATCACCTCCACACAGCACAGAAGAGACACAAAGAACCCAAAGGTTTTGACACTTGGCTCCTTGTCTGCTCCTGCCAACAGCCTTTTCCAAGGATTATGTTGTAGGACTCCAGTTTTTGCCTTTCTGCTTTTGGTGTTCCACAAGTCAGGAGCTCCAACACACTCCCTGAGTCTGGCTTTCAGCACCACTCTGAGGTTTCAGATCACATTGGGCACATTACACAAATCTGTTCACTATGGAATCCGACAAATTTTATTTTCATGGTGAGTGTTTTCACAGGGAATACCCCAAAATCCAGGCTCAGCATGTGACACCTGAGCAGTATGTACGCTCCCTTTCCCACAGTAACCTGTTAATGTGCTTCATGTGCAATTCAGGTTACTCATAAATAATTCTCTTTGCAAATCAGACACATATAAATTATTCTCTGTAATTGAAAATTACCTATGAATTATTCTGTTTGTAATTCATATATATGTCATTTATTCTCTAATATATTGACATTGCTTTCTTGGATAGAAATGCCTGGGGCTGATAGTAACAGGGTGATTCTCAAAGGCTAAGGCAGTATCATACAGTGTGTGTTTATTTGGGATATTCTGACAAGACAGGGATGGTCTTCTGTGAAGAAATTCCATGTACAGGTCCAGAAAGGGCACTCAGTGCATTATGGAGTTATTTAGTATTGTATAGAATTTGACCCTAACATCACTGAGATTATATTTTTTTAAGTTGGTAATTCTAAAGTTATTTATTATTTGAGCCAATTTGTAAGTCATTTCTAGCTCTGACTCTCCCATAGGCACTGCAGATCTCTTCCCCTCTCAGCTCTTGTGAAGTATTTGGAGGCAAACTGACTTAACCCAGCTCTTTGTATGTCAGAGGGACATTAGCAGGGTCTCTTAACACTGATTAATTACCTTTGTTAGGTTCTGTACCATAAACAAGCAGTGATAGTGCAGGAAATTCATCGTCAGTCAACAGAAATGAAAAGCCCAGAGCAAACATAACGAGTGATAACTAATTACAGCACATGCTCCAGTTACTTAATAGCTCTTTCCCTGAGATTTGCACTTGGTGTCTGCTACTGCTGCTCCAGGATCAGCCTCTCCTTCTCAGTATTACACCAATGACAGCCTGAAAGCAATTTTCTCCATTTATTTGTTTCCATGCATAGAAAGAGATTTTTCTTGACTGAGAAGCTCTGCTCCAAATAAAATTCTCACTGGTCCAGCTCCTTCCTCAGGAAGCTCAACACAGCCCCTCACACAGACCCAGGCTTTGCCTGCCAAGTAGGCTCAGCTCCTAGGGTCACACCAAATCTCTTTGGCCGGGCTCAGACCTGGTTTTGAGATACTCAGCAGTTTTCAGAATCAATCCCCTCTGCTCACAGAGCAAATCCACTCTGGACCTGCTCTGCCCTCTGCTTGCACACCCCCGTGGAGCTCTGGCATCCTCTGTCCACTTGGCATTAAGTGGCCACAAAGCACTGAGTCAGATCTCTGTGTGTTCCAGCCCAGAAACTCAGATAAAGCCTTCTGGCCTCACGTCCTGCCAGATCCCAATAATATTTGTGTGTAATGTCTCTAGAATATGTCTGTGGCTCAGAAACAGATGGTGTTGGGAAGAGTCATTCCTGGTGCTGTGGAAACCTTCAGGGATTCACATTTACCAGGAGGATCCTGCATTTACCAGGGATCCTGCATTTACCAGGAGGAGAATGTGCTTGTCCTATTGGAACTGTGATTGATGTGTTATTGCTGCAAGACTCAGTGCTGCAAGTTTGTCCTCCCAGGAATCTGCCTCATTAATTAACTTGGACTGCTGGACAAGGTGGATGGACAACTCAACAATATGCAAAAAATGTTTGCAATGTGAAAGACAATATTTGTAAAGGTCATTAAATACTTAAGATGGAGGCAGATTCTTCCTTTTGTCCTTATTTAAATATTCTTATTTAAATGTTCTTAAGTATTTAAGAACACATACACGTCCACTTTGCCTTTGATTTTGTTTTATGTTAAAGCCTGCTCTCTCAATACGTTGTGCTTCATTTTAATATGTCCTGAGGACATACATTATCCCTCGTTTCAGCCTTCTCTTCTACAGATTTTATTTATTCTACGCTCGTACAAAGCACTACCCTATTTTTCAGTGCCTGCCATTTGAGGCTCTCTAAGTGTCACACAAACATTCATGAACTTCTCTGTGCTACCCTCCAGAAAGTGAGCTGGCAGTATGTGCCTTTCCCCCTCCTCCCCCTCACCACCCATTTATTCACCATTTTCAGAGTTTTCTCCGTTCATTTTAGTCTGGTTCAAATGTCTATGTTGCTTCTTCCATGCACACATGTGATGAAGGGCTGGCTGTGTTCTCCTTCCCTGGCTCTGACATGAAATAATCCTCCACAATCCATATCTGCGTGCCGTGCACTTGCTAACCAGAGATCCAAAAGCACGGAGCAGCATCTATCAGAGCTGTACAACAAACGTAGCACTGCAGAGATAGCCGAGCTCTAATCACTCAGCTCCAGGCACTTTGCTCTTCATCATACTTGTCTAGACAGACTAAATGGTCTCTGCGAGACAACCCCGGTGTTAGCCAGGAAAGCGGCTGTGTTTTCCATACGGATGAACTCCCGAACAGGTATGGCTAAGGGTGGGTATTCCCTGGAGCACGGGCGGTATGAAAGTGCCTCATCCCGCGCTGAAAAGGTAAAAAGGCACGGGGATGCGGTGCCTCCTCCTCCCAACACATCCAGGGCTTTTTAAGTGATACCGCCAGCTCGGGGATGTTTGTGGGCATCTCACAGCCAAGAGAAGGAAGGGGCTCCAAGGTGTTACTACAGCCAGCATGACTGGGGAGGGGGGACAACAGAACCCAAAGCCATGGTTTCGTAGGGGCCGGCTGTACCCTGGTCACCAGCCAGCGCTGCCAGCCGGAGGGTTGCTGCGTGCGAGGCATGTTCTGGAAGGGCTGCAGAAGCAGGTGCTGCTCCTGGGACACCTGAACACCCCCCGGCCCCGCTGATGTGGAAAAGGGGCTGTGATTCCCCTTTTGTGCGGGAATCACGCGGGTGCGTGTGCAGGGAGAGAACAAGTCCCCCGGCACTGGGACGATGCACCAAGCACGAACACTGAGCTCACCCCCGGCACAGCAAGCCGCCGGGAGGGTGCACCAGGAGTGCCCGGGCAGGACCCCTGGAGCCCGTGGGGATGATGCCCGGAGCGCAGTCCCCAATGCCCTGCGGGAGATGCCCCGAGCGCGGTCACAGCCCCCGGAGGGGGATGCTCTAAAGCGTGACCCGCCGCCACCGGGGGAGGATGCCCCGGGCACGGCCACCATCGCCCGCGGAGCGATGCCGTCGCCGGGAAGCGCTGCCCACCACCCCAGGAGATGATGCCCCGAGCGTGGCCACCCTCACCCGCGGAGCGGTGCCCGTCACTCCTGGGGCGATGCCCATCACCCCGGGAGATGCCCCAGCCCGCATGCCGGGGCTGCCCTGACCCCCCTTCCCTCCTGACCGTGCCCTCTCCCGATGAGGCGACCCCGCGACACCCCCGATCTGCCCGGGGAGCAGGACAGGACTCACCGCCCGCCGGGCCGGGACTGCGGAGGCCGGGAGGAGCGGCAGGGCCGGGGCACCCGGCTCGGGGCTGGCGAGGCGGAGCGGAGCCCGGCAGCGGCGGCGGCGGCAGGAGGAGCAGGAGCAGGAGGAGGAGGAGGAGGAGGAGGAGGAGGAGGAAGAAAAGGGGGAGCAAAGGGGGGCTCGGCCCCGCCGCCGGGAGCCCGCGAGATTCGCCGAGCGGCCGCGCAGAGCCGCCTCCTGCCGCGCGCGGGGCAACCGCCGGGGGGCGCCCGCGGGGAGCGGCCGGGCCCGCCCGGGGCCGGGGGACACGGAGGGGAACACGGGGACACGGGGAGAGGGACACGGGGAGAGGACACGGGGACACGGGGAGAGGGACACGGGGACACGGGGACACGGGGAGAGGGACACGGGAACACGGGAACACGGGGACACGGAGGGGAACACAGGGTCCGGGACAGAGACCGGACACGGGGACAGGGACAGGACAGGGGACACGGAGGGGGCACAGGGACAGGGACAGGACACGGGGTCCGGGAAGGGACACGGGATGGAGGGACAGGACACGGTGTGCGGAAAGAGTGCGGGATGCGGAGGGGGCACGGGGTGCGCGGAGCAGACGGAGATTGGGAGCAGGACACAGGGTGCGGGATCAGGACACGGGGTGCGGGATCAGGACACGGGGTGCGGGATCAGGACACGGGGTGCGGGATCAGGACACGGGGTGCGGGGTCAGGACACGGGGTGCGGGATCAGGACACGGGGTCCAGGAGGGGACACAAGGTGCGGAATCAGGACACGGGGTGCAGGATCAGGACACGGTGTGCGGGATCAGGACACGGGGTGCAGGAAGGACACGGGGTGCAGGAAGGACACGGGGTGCGGGATCAGGACACGGGGTGCGGGATCAGGACACGGGGTGCGGGGTCAGGACACGCGGTGCAGCGGCGGCGGCGGCGGGTCCCGCTCGGCTGCCGGAGCCCGGAGCCCGGCGCGGGGGGCGCAGGCCGCCCCGTTCGGCGGAGCGCACTGCCGAGGGAGCCCGGGGCTGGGCAGCGCGGCGGTGCCGCGGGTGGAAACCCTTTAATCTGTGCTCTAATGAGAGCCGGGCGAGGAGCGGCTGGCTGGGGACTGGTTGTGCCGGTGGCTGGTGCCATCCCCGCCCTGCGAGCCGCGTTTGCATTCGCCTTGATGCCTCGCTCGCAGCATCGCTCCCACATCACCCGGATTCATTTCCGTGTCCCACGATGTCCTTTAATTCGGGAATATTATCTGTTCTTGGAAAGGTTAATTACATTAAAGGAGTGGATCTCTGTTCCCATTTCTTCATGGCTTCATTTATTCTGCCTTTCATGTTTTGATCCTCTTCAGTGCTTTGATCCCTCACTTCTGCCATCCCTGGATGGGAGGAAAAAGGAATACCCTGGCTGGGACCCAAGCGTGTCCCTAAGTGACATAAACTGAAATTAGGAAAAATAATATATTTTACAGCCTCAGGGGCCGTAGCAGTGCTGGCAGCCCAAATGCCATCTGCACACCCAGCACAACCATGGGCCTTGCAAGGGCCAGCAGAATGTCCTGCTGGAGTCGTGGTGGCCACAGGAGTGGCCAGATGACCGTGTGCCATGCTGCGGGATCAGCAAGCAGCAGGATGAGCCCATCCCTGCTGCAGCCTGCGTGCCTGGGACCTGCATTGCTCTGAAGGCACTGGCAGCATCACTGGTGAAAAATTGCCCTAATTTGCTGCTCTCGTAATCAGGCCAAGGCGAAGCAGCAGCTTCTCCTGGCAGCCGACGCTGCTCGTGAATCTTCCTTGTGGGAAACCTTCCTGAGATTCAGCGTGTGGGAAGGGCAGCAGGGAATTCTGAGGCCTTGCAACAGTGTCTTCTTCCACTTCAACTGCTACCCAAAGCACAGGAGATGCCCTCTGCGCTGTTTTAATTGGTTGTGGCTTGTAATGAGACTTTATTTGTATTAATTACTTAAATTATGTATTTATGAGTTGCTCCGAGTACACCATCAACATGTTTAGAACCGTAACAAGCCTCAAAGAGTCAGCTCCTACATGAGGAAGCTGTGAACTGGAAAACCAGATGCACTGATACAGTTTTGCTCCCAGAATGCACAATTATTTTTTTTGTTAAACCTATTGTAAACTTAAAAATCAGTAGTTGGCTTAGCTGCCAGGCCACTGACTGACCAGCATAGGTAAACAGGACTGGTGTTGTTGTTAAATGTTCTCATAATGATGCATTTATCCTGGGCAGGCACAGGGGCAGGTGGGCAGTCCTTGCCCAGCAGAGCTGGCATTGAGGGAGGGGGAGGCAGGGACAGAGACAGTGATGAGGAAACAGCCACACAGTCACTCTCTGATGTTTTAGGAGGCAAGTGGTTTTATTAAGAGAGGATCAGTAGAAAAGGAAGGGAAAAGGGAGCAGGAGGTGGTCAAAACTCAGATGAGAAGACAACCAGGATCTGGAGAGAGCAGTGAATGAGAGGGATGGAGATTTGGGGCTGTGGAGGGAGTGGGAGAGCTCCGGGACAGCTGCACTCAGCACCCGCCCAGCTGCCACTGGAGCTGCTCACAGCAGAGATGTGATGCCCACCACAAGTGGCTTTTATCTGCAGTGATCAGCAGCAGTCACCATTCTGCTCTGAAACTAATTGTTTGTGCAAAGCTGTGTCTCCTGGAGCAGCCACATGATCTGTGTCCTCCCCATGGGAGGATGTAAAATACAGGGGTGCAAGCCTTGGGCAGGTGAGTGCAGGAAACTTCATGGGGCAGCACATCCTCAGGGAGAAGCAGATTGAAAAAAACCCCCAAAACTGCTGCCTGAGACTGGGATTTAGGCAACTGTAGCTATTTAGCCAAAGAAAGTTGTATAGCTACATAAATAACTCCATGGGGAGAAAAGGCAGGTACCCATGAACTGTGTAAACCAGAGAGAAGAGACAGCCCAAACCCACAGCTGCAGGCTGAAGGCAGTCTAATTGAAATGAGAAAATAGGCATTAATTTTTTAAAGAATGAAGTTGATTAGCTGCTGGAACAAATTACTGAGGAAAGTGAAATTCTTCCCATGTGATAGTGTTTTCTATTCAAGATAAGATGCCTTTCCCCAAGTGGGCTTCAGCCAAGCACACGTTCCTGTGTTCAGCAGGGCAAGGATGGGGTGAAATGTGGTGGTCTCTGCTCTGAGAAGGTGAGGAGGTGACTTTGTGGCCCCACCTTTATTTCAGGAAATGAACTGAAGGCTGTGTTCCTGGCATGGATTTCTAAATCCCTCCTGGATGGTGCTCCAAATTTCAGTTTGTGCTGCTAACACAAATTATAGATGCACACAAGCAAACTTTCTGAAAGTTTGGACCTCAGCAGCAGCCCAGAGAGAGCAGAGTGGGTTCAGCTTATGTTGTCTCTTTGCTGGTCAGTCACAAAACCCTGACCTACACTTGGGTAGCACTGTAGAACTACCAACAGCTACTTTGATGTTGGTCCTAAAACAATTGATTTTGGTCCTAAAGCAATTGCAGCCACATCTGTCTCACCTTTGGACTGTGGTGTACACAAGGAGGAGAATTAGGGAATGTCCACACCAAAAAAAAAAAAAAAAAAAAAAAAAAAAAAAAAAAAAAAAAAAAAAAAAAAAAAAAAAAAAAAAAAAAGTAAAAATGTAATAGCACATTGCTGCTTCTACAGAAATGAGTAAAGTACAAAATATGCTAGGAGGAGCAGGCTCAAAATCAAAGGGTGAGATCTCCTGCATGTTAATGGTGATGGAAAGGAGGAGAAACGGGAATGACTGGTTTGCACAGGAGACTGAGAGTTCCCATCCTGGGAGGATGTGGCACAGACCTGTCTGGGGTCAGGTTCTCTCCCTTTGCAAGTTCTGGTGGTGTGGTTCTGGTCGAGGATCTGAGGCAGGAGATGAGGAGTTATTAAAGTAGGATTTCACCTTGAGCTGGAGAGTCTGAGGGACCTCATCTGACAAGGCTACAGGTTTTTGCTTCCTCACTGAAATCAGTTGATTTGGCTCCCTGCCACACATCAGAGGGCGTGGAAGGGGGATGAAGTGTTCCTTGTCTCCTCCACTGGTACCATGAAAATGCAGTGCATTGTGCTGGTGCTGAGGAAAGGCCCCTCCTTTGCCCAGCTGCTGCCCTGCATTGCCATCCCATGTGCCAGGACGTGCCCTGCGATGCTGCCTCATGCCTCACCCATCACCCTTCCCCAAAAAACCCTGCAGAAAATCCTCCTGGAGGTGTGGATGAGCAGCACTGAGTGTGGCACTCCTGGATTTCCATGACTGGCAGCAGTGAAGGACAGCTTCCTTCCCTCTGCAGGAGGTGGCAGGAGAGAAGCAGAGAGCAGCAGGCACCTTCTGGTAGGTGATGGAGTGGGGGCATCAGAGAATTGTCCCTCTCTGCTGTGTCCTGGCACAGTACAGGCCCCTTTGGCAGTTCGGGGAGGAGCTTTCATGAAAACAAATGTTTGGCTGGGGTTACTGTAGTGCCACAGACTTCAAGGAGCAAGCAGAGAGAGCCCAGCCCCTCTTTGATTAGTGAGTGCAATCTGCTGCCACAGCTGGTGCTGGAGGAGAAGATAAGAGAGAGAAAAAGAGAACAGCTCTGGAGTGAAGATGAAAACACTGGGCAGAAGATCTGTGGGTGGATGAAAGGGAGCCATTTATTTGCAAATAAGTTGCTAGATCAGGTTTCTTGTGCATCTGGGCAGCTTCTAATACTATGGGCTTATTCAGAGCTGAGAGTTTGACTGGACCTGGAGACTCTTGAGACATCAGCCCACACATGTAGCTGGTCCAAGTCTGTCTTGTGCCAATCAAAGGAAAATTTAAGGGTCTTCTTCACCTTTTACCATCGATTTTGTGTCTCTGCAGGAAGTCAGTGTGGCTGCTCCATGATTCATTCCCATGAGGAAGCATGATTTCAGGTCCCCAGATGGTTGCAGAGGCAGAAGAGGGGGCAGAAATGTATTTTTACAGCCAGGAGAATGAAACTTCAGTGTACAAATTTGGTCTGGCTTAGAAGATCTGGGTAATATATAGAAT